AGAGCCTACTACAGAATAGAGGTTCAATAAATATGTATTTTAACAGATATATAAGCCAATGAAAAATTTAGATATAAACATAAAAGTCTAATTGAAAGAACACTTAACCTTGGATAGTCTCTCTTCCTTCAATGACATTCATGTATAAATCTTTGCATCACAATCAAACACAGCCCTGGTGTCTAGAATCCCTTCCAAATGTTGTACCGGAGCTCTCTGACAGTTCAGTTGGATTAGCTGGTTGTTAGGATAAGAAGGGACCAGACAGAAGGGACCTCATCACTTTTACTCTCAAGGTTAAATGACCTAAGAACAAAGTTGAATAATAGGAGAACTGGGCCAATGTTATTGGGATGCTCAATCTGTTGTGTTTTTTTTGTTTTTGTTTTTGTCAATTGCAATGGAATGAATGTGATTCCTCTGGCATCAAGATATAATTTTTAAGACTTGCTTGTAATGTTTTAAAGTTCTATTTGACATTTTTACACAGCAATCAATTGGACATATCTATTTAAAATGATGAATATAAAATATTTAAATTGAAGTTGGTTTCAACATTATGTCAGCCTTTATGTTGAAGCATATAGTTCAAATGACTCACTAAAACTATTTAAAATGAAACAGTTTAAGCAGCAGATGGAAATAAGAATCCTTTAAATAGTAATAAAATAGGAATGATAAGAACAGTTGTATGGTTTTTATTTCTTTAAAATTTTAGATGGCTAAAAAATGATTCTAAAATTTTATTGAGATTTTAAATATTATATGTAACATAATTTTACTGTATCTTATAATGATATTAGAAAGCATCTCCCAATTGGAAAGCGTGGAAAGAACTTACCATCTTTATTGTATGGTGTATTGTTTAATCACAAATCAGTCTTTTTAAAACTAAAATCTAACATATTACTTCCATTGTATCCACATACTGACACACAGTATATATAGTTAAGAATGTATTACGACCATCCTGGCCAGTGTGGCTCAGTTGGTTGGAGCAGCATCCCGTGCATGGGAAGGTTGTGGGTTCCAGCCAACCAATGGATGTATTTCTCTCACATTGATGTTTCTCTCTCTCTCTCTCTCTCTCTCTCTCTCTCTCTCTCTCTCTTTCTCTCTCTCTCTCCCCCCTTCCTCTCTAAAAATTTTTTTTAAAAATAAAGAAAAAAAGAATTAGGACCACCTGATTTAATGTATTTTAGACTATTCTTATTAATAAATCTCTTTGTATACCTCAATAAAAATAAACCTCTTTGTGATTATTCTCAAGTTATTCATCATGCTATCATATAAACACCCTCAAAATTTTTAAAAATGGGAGATAATGACAAAAGGGGAAAAAAGGAGAAGAAATATTTGCTTTGCAAGAAAGTGTATATAATTAAAAATACATTATTGTATTAAAATCAATATGTTATAGTTTACTTTGAGACAATATCTAGCAATTTATTTGCATGTAAGGTATAAATTTATAGTTGCTACGTATTTAAAAGAGTTTACCTGAATAAATTTCCTATCTACCTATCTATCTATCTTAAAAAACAGATGAAACTTCCCAGTATCTGGCATGCTCAATAAATATTTGTTGAATAGATGAAACAAACAAACAAACAAAGAAAACAAAAAACCCCCACATACTCAAAAAACCATCTAGATAAAACGAAACTGTTAGGATAACAAAAGTATTGTTTCTTTATAAATTATTTATTGCAGTGTTCATTTATATAGTGAAGTCTATTACTATTAAAATATATTTTAAGAAATTGTTCTTCAGACAATTTTTATCTTTAGCTATCAGGTAAATTGTATTATTTAGGAGTATTCTTAGCTGACTTGTGAAGGATATCTGATGTGTTTGCACTGTGATTTTCTATTTAGTGCTTGAAGGAATGTCTGTGGTACTAGAAGGAATTGAACAATCTCTTAAATTATTCATAAGCTTCTCTTCCAGAATATGTTAGCATAGATGAAGAATGACATGTGATGTTCACACTAGCAAAAATTCTTCTTATCTCAAGAATAGTATTTCTATAACTATTACCCAGTACTCTGGCTAAGCAATAGATTATACTGTTATTAGGAATATAAAATCAATACTAAGATGTACTTTTCCAAAAGCAGGCGTCCTTTTCTCTTTCCCTATTCCCATGTACCTACACCAGTGATGGCGAACCTTTTGAGCTCGGTGTGTCAGCATTTTGAAAAACCCTAACTTAACTCTGGTGCCGTGTCACATATAGAAATTTTTTGATATTTGCAACCATAGTAAAACAAAGACTTATATTTTTGATATTTATTTTATATATTTAAATGCCATTTAACAAAAATCAACCAAAAAATGAGTTCGCGTGTCACCTTTGACATGCGTGTCATAGGTTCGCCATCACTGACCTAGAGCATATGCTGTACTGAAAAAAACACATTAATAAAAATTAAATGTGCTTTGTGACAATATTTTTAAAAACAGTATTGTGAATAGATATCCATCATCCATGATTTCAGTCAATAATGAAAACTCTTGAGTCAACATTTAACCAATAAATTGAAAAATGTTGTTTCTTTGGAATCAAATAATATGTAAAACTAATGTAGATAGTAATAAATGATGCAGATGCCTACTATTTTACTTTCTGTTGAAAAAACTACTTTCATGATATCTCTTGTATGTTTTTGTTGTTGTTAATCCTCACCAGAGTATATTTTTTCCACTGATTTTTTTTTAGTGAGAGTGGAAGGGAGGGCAGGATGAGGGAGAAAGAGAGAGAGAAACATCGATGCGATACACATCAATTGCTTGCCTCCCAATTTGCCTCAGCTGGGGCCAAGGATTAAACCTGCAACCCAGGTACATGCCCTTGACCAGGAATCTAACCTTCGACCCTTTGGTGTATGTAGGCCAATCCTTTAATCACTGAACAACATCAGCCAGAGCTCTTGCATGTTTTGACAATTCTGAATATTGTTAAGTCCTCCTCTTCATTGGGCTGAAATCTGTCCCGTGAGACTACAAGCTCCATGAAAGCAGGGATATGCTTGCTAACTTTAACAGATAATGTGCCGGGCATATATAGGAAGTGCTCAGAACATAATTGAATAAATGAATTTTTGCTTTTATATCTTCATCTATTTCTGTTTTCTGTGTTGCTATGAACATATTGGTAAATTCTATCAGAAGCTCATCTATGTCATAATTCCTCAAATACTTGAAGCTTGGAAAATGTGCCCTAATTTCTTCACTCAGATGTTAGGAACTTAATAAGTTGGTTTACTATGGTATATGTTAAGCCATCAGACATTGCCAATGTTTGACTGTTTTTTGACTCATAAAAAAGACAATTTTGTATGAATCAGCCCAATATTTTGACTCTGTGTCTATTTAAAACAGTTGAGAATATGCCAAAATAATTGAGGAAAGATATACCTGCTTGTAATTTATATGAGCTAAAAGTTGATAAGTTAATTATAATAGTACTTGTCCTGAATATACTCTTATTGTTTTAAAACACATGTATGCCTAGACCGTTGACTTTTTTTGGCTGTTCAATATCTAAACTCTTTCCCAGCATCTCCATGTCAGGTATATTCTTTCATAGATTCTTTTGGTGCCAGGAACATGATCTTGCTTTGGCTCAGACTTTGAATCAGAAGCTAGTAACTTGACCAAAAAAGAACCGTGCAGAATCCATTCTCGAGATGGGCTGTGTCATCAGCGGTAGCTACCATCAGTCTGAGGCTGATAGCAGCATTTCTAGCCCTTGGCTGTGCCTGGTTTCAGTGGTGCCCGATGGAAGACCTCGTGGTGTCGCTGGACCTGTTCTCCTTTGTACTTTGGGCATCTTGACGTCATAGCCTTCCAGCCTGGTATTCTAGTCCTCCATGTTCCATGAGGTCTGTTGCTGCTTAACTCAGGCAAAACTGTCTACAACCGAGAACCAGTGTTTTCTTGGCATTTTAACAGTCTCTTGCTTAACCTTCTCTATTGCCATAGAAGAGAGAAGAAAAATCATTTGGTGGCAGTGATTTGCAATGGTGTTTTAGGACATGCCCCACATAGTTTGCTCACATGTATGTGCTGGTATCGATGCTCAGCTAAATACTCAAGGGGGACCCTTTGCAGATCTCTGGAGTTTTCACTCTGTGTAAGTCTCACTTCTCCAGTTCTTTGCCCTGGGAGCTCCAGATGCCTACTCTCAGCTCTTTTTCCTGAACCAATGAGGTGACTGGGCTCTATTCTCCTTGCATGAAGGCCTAGACACTCAAGGATGTAAGCTGGGCAGTCGGGCTCATCTTGTTTGCTTCTCATCTCTCAGGGGCCACTGGCCTTTATTTCTTGATGGATACAGTGTCTTGCAAACCTTTGTTTCATATACATTGTCCTTTTATTGGTTGTTTCAGATGGGAGAGCAAATCTAATTCCTGTTTTTCCATCTTGGTCAAAGCAGAAATTTTAGATGAAGGGCACAGATCAGCTAGTCCTTTTTTATACCTTTGGACACTATTGGTATAATCAGTGAGTCAGCATCTTATCAGCCAGTTACTTTATTAAATGTTTCTCTTTCAAATTATTGCTTTTGTGTGCTTTACCCAATGTTTGAAATTATTGCAGATTTAACTGTCATATATATGTTTATCATGTACATTGTTTTTCTCTCTTTTTTTTAAAAAAAATATCATAGCCCTGGCTGGTTTGGCTCAGTGGATAGAGCATTGGCCTACGGACTGGAGGGTCCTGGGTTTAATTTTGGTCAAGGGCATATGCCTGGGTTGCAGGCTCAATCCCCAGTAGGAGGCATGCAGGAAGCAGCCAATCAATGATTCTCATCATTGATGTTTCTATCTCTCTCTCTTCCTTTCTGAAATCAATAAAAAATATTTTAAAAATCATAGATATATAAAACAATCTTTATTATAAAATATTTTGTTATTTTTTGACTTGCCATTTTTATAAAGAAAGCCATGTGTTGTAGTAACATTTTTGTGTTTCTTTTTATTTACTTCAGAGGCTGCAAAAAGGACATTTCAAGAAAAAGGGATCTTGGCAGGAGAAAGCAGAAGTTTTAAGCCTCATTTGACCTTCATGAAATTGTCCCAAGTACCATGGCTCCGGAAGGTGGTGAGTGGCCATTTGTGTTGCAAACCTTGTTTTACTGGCTACACCAGCGTTAAGCATGGTCAGCAGCATGAATGACATTGTGGTGGGTTTTGACATCCTACTTACTATTATTGCTCCTGGGTGTACTTCCCGGGGATGCTAAGTTGGCTCATGAGCCTCCATGGAGGCTGTTCTATGTGTTCCCTCCTTTGACAGCGTGGCTCTTGGCTATATACTGTGACCAACACTCACTGCTTCTTTGTCTATGGCCACACCTGCTTCATCCCTCAAAAGGCCTTGAGGTAGTGCCAAGGTTTTATTTTCTGCTTTCTTTGCTAATTGTTGTTTTCAGCCTGCTGCTATCAAAGCTTCCTCCACTGACCTGCATACACTAGTGCTGCTCACTGCAACTGGGTTTTTCAAGGGGACAAACTTTTTAACCCTCTAAGAGCTCTTCTAAAGTTTCCAATAGCTGTCTCCATTGAGGGCTTGGAGCAAGTGCTCCTGGGACGGGGCAAGAGGGTAACTGTGGGAAACCTTGTACTTAAAAGTACTTCTCCCTGAAGACGGTCAACAGTGACGCAAGCCAAGGGACATGTGTCTTGACTTCCCCTGTCTCAGGGTGACTTTCTGCCTTCCCAGGCCACTCCCTCTCCTTCAGAGGTCGGGATAATTGTTGACTTTCTTCTGGATTCATGAGCATTTCTCCTGGAATCTGAAGGGCACCCTTCATTGTTTTTCCCATTGCAGCCTAGGGAGTTGCTCATGCACATTAAGACATCTGCTCACCTGCTCTGATATACCAGAGTTGTGGAGGTGGCCATGCAGATTAGTATTCACTCCTGCTTTCCATGACCCTTGGCTGCAGTTAAGACTGATTTGCAGCTCTATAAATAAAGGGCATTCTTATTAGTAAGTAGATCTTTTTTCTAAATTTGTCACATTTTGTATTTATTGTCTCTGTGCTCAGAAAGTCTCTTTGGTCCTTTAAAACATGTGTTTAAGTGATTGACCATCCTGTGGTTATGAGTTTTCTATAAACTATTGTAAAATTCTTCTCAAAAAGAAATCTTGCATGTTTGTTTTGTTGGTGTTTTTTTCTAACTATGCCCCACATTTAATATTAACTATATTAGGTGCCATTCTAGACTATTTTGGTAAAAATAGTTGTGTAAATAATAGATTTTGAAATTTGGAATGATAACAACTGACACAACTTATAGACTGACAGTTTACTTTTTTACTTGTTATCTTTCCTTTTTTGCTTTCAAATGGATTACCCTCTTCCCAGTGGTTTCAAACTTAATCACAGAATGACAAATCAGTGGTGAAGGTAATAATCCACATTTCAAAGTGTTTCTGTCTTTACAATATTAACTTTGAAATGATAGCACCCAAGCACATTTATCAGAGGAATATTTAGACTCCTCTAGAATCTCAATTTCAATATTTCAGACTGAATTGAAATGATTCTTTGGCAGTTAATTTCACGGGATCTGCTCCCTTCCTTTACAGAAAGGAAATGGGACTTAGAAAGGTTAAGTGGCAGAAATGAGATCATATTCTCCTTAGTTGCAGAGCCCTGTGTAGAATCCATCTTATCTCATTCTCATTTTCTTCCCTCCCACTGGCCATGCCCATTTTATCCAAATTAATTTATATATGTGAGGAGCAATCTGGTCCAAATCATATTAATTTAACAGATCTTTATTGAGGGCTTACTATGTGCCAGATACTGGGTGCTGGGCTGAGTTATGATCAGAATAGAAGCAGTCCTTGCTTATGTGGTATATAAACTAAATCAGGTTGGATTTTGTTTAGGTTAGAATGCTTACTCTTTAGAAAATAAAGTATGTATGACCTTACTGTTTTTTTCAGAAAGCCAAACCTTACTGTTTTTTTCAGAAAGCCAAATAAGAATATTTTCTTCTAATCTATGAAATGATCCCTTTCCGGTTACTACTATGATGTTCAGTGTTTCTGAATGCTTAAGAAAGTTCTATCTTAAACGTTGGGATTCATGAGTCACCTGGGATGCTTGGTGAAGCTGCAGATTTCCACCCTCTTACTTCAGATCTGGAGTTAGATGGACCGGGTGGGAAAAGATCAACCAAAGAAGTTGTTTGAATATATGCATAACCCATGGACATAGGCCATAGTGTGGTGAAGGCCTGGTCAGGGTGTGTGTGTGTGTGTGTGTGTGTGTGTGCAGGCTAGAAGGGGTCAGTGGGAATGAAAAGGGGACATCTGCAATACTTTCAACAATAAAGATAAATAAAATAAAAAAAGACCTTGACTTTTGATGTTTAGTAAGTGCCATGGGTGATTCTGATCCAGAGGATCTGTGTGTAATACAATAAGTCCTCACTGAACGTCGGCAATAGGTTCTTGGAACTTCGGCGAAACGAGGTGTAATGAAATCAGTTTTACCCTAACTGATATAAACAAGAGTTAAGTTCCTGTGGCATCTCATGGACATTATTCCAAAATGATATTATTTGAGGACCTCCTGTATACTCTTGAGACTTGCAGTCTTAAATAAATTTGAAGGATTTTCTCTATGTAGCAAATCATTGGTTCCACTGTAAAAGTGAAAAGCAATATGAAAAGGTGGCATACACATAAAAGTGGACTTTTATTATGCTCTGTCATTTGCAGTGCAGATTATTTGAAAATGTGACTGTTTGGTCTTTCTTCTTAACTTTTGTGCATTTCCCACTGTCTGTTCCCATCTCTCAGCACTAATGGTCTTCTGGGATTTTATCCCGGTCTACTCATTTACAAGGGAGTGGCCATTGATAAAGTCAGTAATGGGATGTATCGCTAGTATTCAGTGTTGTTTAGATTTAGAATGAAATAAAAGAAGAGAAAAAGTGTGTGAAAAAATAGGTTTATTTTCACTCAAATATTAGGAAATTTGTCTCATTTCAAGTACTCTTTTCACATTACAAGCTATTTTACTTTAAAAAATATTAGGTGAATATATGCTCACTGTAAGCAATCAAATGCAACAAACCTATAGAGTGAAAGATATAATTTTTTCCTCCTCACTGCCCTGCCATCCCCTTTCTCCCAATATAATTTTTCTCTGTAGGTCACCACTACTAGTCTATCCTCCTGACCTTCTCCTATACACTGCAAATATATACAGATGCATATACATGCATATTGTTCCTTTAAAACAGAAATAAATGTACCATTGACCCCTGAACAATACAGGTTTGTACTATGCGGATCCATTTATACACAGATTTTTTTCAATAAATACTGTAAGTATATTTCTCTTCCTTATGATATTCTTAACACTTTCTTTTCTTTAGCTTACTTTATTGTCAAAATACTGTATATAGTAATATAACATGCAAAATATGTGTTAATCAACTGTTTACGTTATTGATAAAACTTCTGGTCAAGAGTAGGCTAATAGAAGTTAAAAGTTTTGGGGATTTCAAAGTTATATGTGGATTTTGACTGTGCGAGGTGTGGGGATAGTAAGATAGATGATCCATTCATTATTATGTACAGGAGGTATAATTATGTTGTAGTAGTACTTCATTTGATTTTTTTCACCATCTAATGTGCCATTTTTTAATGACCTAAAAAGCCGGTATCCATGCTGATATAACAAAAAAAGGATTCCAAGTTGGAGCCATAATTGGTTTGTTCCTGAAGGTCAAACATCTCATTGACTTAAAAGATGTGGACAGTGTCTGGTGCAGGGATGAGTGTTCACCACCCCTGGGCTGGTCATAAAGATTAGTGTGAGAATTTCCTGGTGGTGGTCAGTGTTGGCTGCAGAAGTCCCTGGGCTTCTGGGATACTGTCCACTTGTAGGCACCTGTCATCAGACCATTCAGTAGAAGCAATCAAAAGCCCAGTGGGCTAATCAAAAGTTCTATAGATTGTGTTCAGAATTTTGGAAAATATAGAAACTCTACTTTAGTTCTCCTGATAAGGAACCACTGTTACACATGGTATTCTGGTTACCAAGCTAGAGCATTGAGTTCTAACCCAGATTCTGGGAAACATAAGACTTCTTGGCAATTATGTATTTTTCTAACACCAGGAGGCATTTACTTAATGTGTTGGTTTTGCATATTATTAGTTTCATAAAATGTCAGTGGGTATATCACATAAGAGTATTGAAAGTTGTGTATTTTAAAGCTATTTTGATTATCACTGTGCTTTCAAAGTTATAGGATTTTTTTCATCAAATTAATGAAGCCTCAAAAATCTTATTAAATTATGTTGTCTCTGACATAGTAACAGTAATTTGTCTAGTGTCCTTAGAATATATATATTTTTCACATGGTTAGTCTACTACTTGTTCAGCCCCATGCTTTTTATAGTGCATTCTTTTGGGCTTATTTTTCTCATTGAGTGACCCTGTCTTTCTGTGATTTAAACGTTGCAGAAACTGGTTGCTAACACTTGGTGGCAGAAGAAGACCAGTTTCAAATGAAACAAGCGTCTTAATGCAGCTCCAGATTCCTTAAGAAATAAATGGGATCTTTTCAAGGAGAGATTAGGATTTTTTTAAAGCATAAACTATTTTCTGTGCTTCTTAGATGTCTTTTATGATTTATGATTCTTTCAAGTTACTAAACTAGCACTTAAATGATCACAGTTGAAGTTTATGAATTGGCACTTCCTTGTAGCAGCTTTTCAGAGTCAGACAATTAGAGAACTTTAGACTGAAAGAAATGCTTTTTTAAAAAAATTACTACTGTTGGCTACTATTGTCACTTAGAGTGGTTTGTTTTGAGTACACAATTTGATACACACAAAGCAAGGGCAGAAGGGTGGTTATTGGACCATCTGATGATGAGGTTGAGAGGAAGTAGGGAAGAGATTATAGGACAGTTAGCAGTAGAAATAGCAATGGGGAGTGGGAAAGGAGAGTGTCTGGATGAATCTGGATGAAAATTTTGTTCTGAAGGTACAATTAAGGGAAAACTCAGTCCCTGAATAGTTTGGTGACTGAGTATACAGGACCAAGAGAGTAATGAAATTCTACAGTA